CACAAAACATCCCATTCTGTGGCCTTTTCACTGCAGATAGAGAATGGGATGTGAATGAGGCAGCCATCTCCAAGGAAGGTGGGTAGAGTCCCATGGGTCTATTTCCCAATTTATTACCAAATGTTTGGTTTCCTAAGAAGTTCACTTGTTGAATCCTTTTCAAAACCTGGTAAATTCCTCTGCCATTCCCTTCAAAGGGCCAGTGGGCAAGCTCAATCAATTATTTGGGAAACTGACCAAGCTTTGGGCAAATCATCTGGATATGAAACAAACAGGTATTAGCCCACTCAGAGAACTGCTTCCTCTTCTTTGGGTTTCTGTGTCCTTACTTCTCTCTCTGACAGGTTTTATTGCATGATTTTAGGGGAACTGGAGCTTAATCCAGGAGTGGAATTCAGCCTGTAAGTCCCAGAGGACTCAGATTACCCCTTACCCCCACCCCCAATTTACTCTTCCTTCCTCTGCTGCAGGAAAGTCGTCAGCACAAACCCACTGAGAACCTACCCCTGATGTCTCAGAAAAAAAAGTTAAGATCTGAGCTGAAACCAACCTTCCAGGTGACACTGTTGGAGGACCCTGCATCCAAGCAAGAACAATGGTTTAGGTGAAGTCCTGGCTCTTTCCTACCTTTTCCTTATTCATGTCACTATCTCTTTTCAATACAATTTAACAAACACTTTTTGGGTATAGGGGATATGGACAACCGTATAATAATAAGACAGCTTTCCTACATGACCCCTGATCTCATTTCCACCTTAACAAAAGAAAAACAGCAATGCAAAACTAAGGTTTTTCACGAGAATGATTTTCAAGGTGAAGAGAAGGATTCAAAGGTCTATGCTTTAAGGGAAACAACAAAAACTTTCTCTCAGTGCGTGTTAAGGGCTGTAATACAGGAACAATGTGCCATGTATGAGATTTTATTTGAAACTAGTAATAGGAGCAGCCTGCACCTGGTGCGGAGAGGAGAGAGATTCTGGAGTTCCTTCATAGATTTACAACGCTAGGTTCTAGAAGCACCCCTTCCGCTGGACAGTATAACCACTCGGTACCAATGAACACACTCTAATCCTTTCTGCTCCCCCAGAATCTGAGAATCCACTGACTGGTTCCATTAACCCCCTACCCTAGGACCTACTAAATGAACTTTCTTTGTTAAGGTTTTCCACGGACAAGGATTTCAAGAGTGAAGGGAAGTATTCAAAGGCGTACGCTTTGAGAAAACAGAAAAAAATGTACCCTCAGCTGAACTTGGCTCCTGTCTGTAAAAGAAACACGAGGAATGATGGTAAGCTTCTCTCTTTCAAAGCAATGGTTTACGAGCTGGAGATGTGGGCAGGAGGGACAGCCCATGGGGACGAGTGGCAAGGGCAAATCAGCATCTCTCTTAGAGGTTCTGGAGACTATTTTTCCTTGTAGCATGGAAGCTGAGAACTGATAGAGGCCCACATAGTGCTCGGTTTTGGATCCTATTTAAATCCTCAAATTTCAAGAAAGCTCTAGCATGGTGTTCCCCTAACTACATTACCTACCACTTTATGAGATTTGGTCAATGTGTTATATGCTCTATTATTTACTTAATGTTTTTCTTTAAAACGATGTTTTGGGTACTTGTCCTAACTAATATTATATCACTGACATTATGGGTTTGATACACTAATTACATTTTTTTCCTCTGACATCCATTTAATCAAATTCATAAAAATTAGAATATAAAATGTTTATCTATATATCACCGAAAACTACCCAGTGGCATGCCTATCACACTTTGAGGAAAGCTGTTCTAGAAAGATCAAAGGATAAGCTGCAAGTCTCAGAGACCCAAGAGTCTCTTTGGGGTTGAGGCAGGACATGGGGTGGGAGGGGTTTGGGATAAGGTTGTGCAGAAGAGGGGGCAACGAGAATGCTCCTCACAAATGATCATTCATTTGGCAACATTTATGGGGCACCTACTAAGTGTTAGATATTTATCAAGCACCAATAATAGCACTTTCAATATGTGAGATCGTTGGATGGGCCAGGTCATGAAGGGCCTTATATATTCGCATAAATAAGGGCTTAGGTTTTATCCAGCAGGCGGTTGGGACTCACTGAAGGATTTCAGAGCACTGAACACACATTTGTGTACTAGAAGTACAATCGATGGGTCCCCAGACTTCACCAGCCTGTGGCTTCAAGATAACGTTCATTTCTTCTACGGGGTTTCTCTCCTCAAGCAATTTCTGAAACTCCCTAAGGTATACTTACCTGTTCCACAAGGCCATCCGAGTGACTACCAGTCAGCCTCAGTCCAAACAGTCATGGTTCCAGATGTATGAGGTCACATTGTACCGTCCCTTACCTGGCTTCTTCAAGCTTCTCTGCTCCTCCTGTACCTATTTGCTGCCCCACCTGATGCCCACCTACTGCCTCTCTTAACTCCCCATATACAGCTAAAACCAAGCTGTGGTATTAAACAACACTTCATAGCTGTGGAGAAAAGTTAAAGGAGGGCAGAGAGTTATTTATCTTGCTTTCAGAGGGGATACTCTTAGGTTCAGCCTCAAACCCGCCTCGGTTCCTTCCTACATTCCAGCAGCCCCCAGCACATTACCCATTCTTATCAGGGAGTCTCCTGGCTTAGCTACTCTGTCTCTGCCTTGGCTCCCAATACCCTTGGTGCAAGGAAGGGGACGAGGGTTGCTCCTTCCCCAAGCCTGTTTATTTTTAGCCCCAGAATAAATAAGTAGGAACATCTATTTCCTTCAAGGGATACTCCACATGGAAAGCAAGGTTAGAGCTTTACAAGCCAGATAAGGCAAACATAACAGTACATTTAGTAAAGTCAGAGTTAAATCTTAAATGATACCATATGCAGACTATCAGCAGTTCAGCTTAAATCCATTCTGAAAGAAAGAATTTCTCCCGAATCTAGAATCTAATCTGGATTAGAATTTCTCTGATTTTTTTTTCAAGGGCATGATTCAATTTACATTTATAAACAGAACACTTAGTATCTCAGTCTGCAGCATTTATTAGATTTTACGGTGACTTTACAGTTTCCTTCAAGAAAAATGAGAGGATATTTACTTATGTATCTAAAAGACCCATTATTGTGCTTTTCCTAAACAAAGACAATCTACTGTGAAGTCGAAGGTGTCTCCAGTTCAAGCAAAAGAGGACCTAGCAACACCTCCTTCCACCAATAATGTTCCATGTTTACCAGACATCCAAATAAAGATTACATAGAGAATGGTTTGGATGGGGGCCAGGAAGGCTGGTTAAGGAGACTGTCCAAGGAACAAACAGATAGGACCTGAATTAAGGTGACAGCAGTAGGAATAAGAAAACAGATCCAAGGGATATTTACAAGGTATAATGCTTCAAAAAAAGTGGGGAGGGATGGGAGCAAGAAAAACCCACAATGGAGACATCCAAGAATGGGCAGAGTTTGAAAGAGAATTTGGAAAAAGTAATGTTCCTTAGTTACACTCTCAGGAGAACTAAAAATCAACACATATTTTAGGAAGAGGCTACGAGGAATGTGAATATACAATTGATATATGTGAACGCACCTTAGTAAGAATTACATAAGTGTCAAAATGACCGCAGATGGAATCATTTGAAAGGGGTGGTATTAAACAGGGAAGACCCTAAACTGGCAGTGATTTCAATTGCGTGTTGATGAAGGGAAAAGTTATAAAGAAGGCTGGGAGTGGTAGTCCGTGGTCCAAAATCTACCCACTTGTTAAGAGTGAAGACCCGCTTTCCCTGCCCTAGAAGTGGGTCTGTTTTCATGCCTCACATCAAGTGTCCTAAACTCTCTGGAAATTCACATTCACGAAGGTGCCCTGTGCTTTGTTTCAGTCTCCGAGAAGTCAGGGAGCCAATTGCCAACATCCCAGATGATCTGGGAACCATTAACCCTTTCACCACTTCTGAAAGAGAAGCCCACCAGAACCGTGCCAGGAGAGAGCACCTTCCGCAATGGAAGGGCCCAACAGTGGATTATAAAAAAAGCCCTTGTCACTAAGTGAAAGTAAACTCTCACGCCTCCAGAGACTGAGCGGCCTGCAGAAGTCGCCATCTAGGGCGTGCCAACCAAATAAAATCACATTCTGCCCGCTCCGGGCGTGGGCTGCCCGGTCGCTAGCAGGGAGGGCCGGGGCGAACCCCTGGCTGAGACCTGTCGCCGCAGGGGCGTGGCC